TATAGAAAGCCTACAAACAGCAAAAAAAAAACAAAAACAGGCAAATTTGGGGGAAACCTCTATTTACACGTAATAAAAAACTGTCTCAATTCATGCTGAGATACTCATCCATGAAGTAAAATTCTGGTTAAAAACTGTCTCCAAAATTGAATCCTTCAGAAATCCGTTATTTATTGCCCGGGTAAAAAAATTCCTCATTATAGAAGGTTTCCAAAAGAATGTGGGCAATATTGTTTCGAAGATATTTTTGGTGATCGGAAAAGATCTTCAAGAGACAATCTGTCCCAGAAAGATTGCTAGAAAATGTTGAAAAGGTAAACACAAAGAATAACACAAATTTTAAGTGATATTTTCCAGAGAAAATGTTGAAAAATCTTCGGAAGACAACTTTTTTCTGGAAAATCTTTCACAGATAATACTAGAAGATCTGCAAAAGACAACTCCAACCCCCCCCCCGCAATATGCCTTCTCTCAAGGGTCCCACTTCAATTTCTCTTACTTCAATGGTCCCATTCTAATTTTTTCCCCACTTCAATTTTTCTCTTAGTTCAATTTTCCCTTACCTTCATTGCCCTACTTCAATCATTTCCCACTTAAATTTCTCTCATGTCCATTTATCTTCTATTTCAGTTTTGGTTCAATAGACTCAGCGTTCAGTTAAACTACTTTAATCCCCCCCCCCCCACTTCAATTTTCTCGGATTTAATGGTCCCATTTTAGGGTTTTTCCCCCAGTTCAATTATTTCCCACTTCAATTTTTCTCATGTCTATTTCCCTCTTTCTTCATTTTTCTGTTCTTCAATAGACTCAACCTTGATTTTAACAACTTCAATCCCCCCCCACTTCAATGTGCCCTACTTGAATTTTAAACTTGCATATTGTCCCACTTCAATTTTCCCTCTACTTAAATTCCCTTACCTCGAGGTTAAGTCTATTGAAGCAAAGAAAATTGAAGTTACAGAGAAATGGTCATGAGAAAAATTGAAGTGGAAAATAATTGAAGTAGGAAACTGTGGACAAATGAAAATTGTTGTGAGAGAAATATTGAAGTGGATGTATTGGGGCGGGAACCTCAAGGTAAAGGAATTGATATTGGTTGGAGGGGGAGGGGGGGGGTTAAACGTTGTTAAACTCGACGTTGAGTCTATTGAAGCAAAGAAAACTGAGGTAGGAGAGAAACGGACATGAGAAGTTGAAGTGGGAAATAATTGAAGTAGGGCAATGAAGGCAAAGGAAAATTGAACTAAGAGAAAAATTGAAGTGGGAAGCAAAGTAAAATGGGACCATTGAAGTAAGGAGAAATTGAAGTGCGACACTCGAGAGGAGGCATATTGAAGTGAGGGAAAAAAGTTGAAGTTGTCTTTTGGAGATCTTCTAGTATTATCTCTTAAAGATTTTCCAGAAAAAAATTTGTCTTCCGAAGATCTCTGAACATTTTCTCTGGAAGATTTCCCATAAAATTTAAGTTATCTCTTGAAGATTTTCTAGCAACTTTTCTGGGAGAGATTGTCTCTTGAAGATCTTTTACGATCACCAAAAATATCTTCGAGATAATCTTACCCAGATCCTTCCGAAGCTTTTCGAAAGATCTTCCACAGTGAGAATTTTTTTTACTCGGGTGATTATTTGTTGATTATATCTCAAATTTTGGTTGTGTATCGTAATTGAAGATCTATATTTTGCGTTGTCTCAAGTTCTATTGAGATCTCATTAACTATTTTACTTTTGTCTCGTCTCCCATTGGGGCCGCTGAGCTTGAGTTGATCAGAAATCGTTTGATCAGAAATTTAGTTGATCAGAAATCGTCGCATGTACATTAGTTGGGAATTTTTCTTGACTTTCCATGGATTTGTCACGAAAGAAGTATGCGAAATTGCATGCGAACGGGACCAAAATTTTCCGTATTCGATACGTTTTCATTCGTTTACCAGGGGCACTTTAATTTTTCTCAAAGATCTCTCAATGTACACAAAGTTCCGCTACGAATAGCATCTAAAATTTCCATAATGTTTTCATATATGATATTTTGATATTTTCTATACAAAAATAACTAAAATATCATACACTAAAAGCGTATAGAAATTTCACACGTCATCCATATAGAAATTTATATGTTGCTTATGTAAATCCCCAAAAATTCATTGAAATAAAAAAGCGACAAATTTTCTGAGATTTTTAACAGAAACTCTCAGCATCTCCCGTTTTTTTTTTTAGAATTTACGTGAGTTAGGAAACTATAGAAATTTCCAGAAATACCCTAAATTTTTTGAAATATTGTATGAAATGAAATAATGTGTGGGCGTGCGAAACAAATTTCTTTCCGGCATTATCCACCAAGAGTAAGAGTCTTACAGCAGAGAGAAAAATACCATCTTAACTCGCAAACGAAAGGCAAATTTATTGGACATTACGCTGACATATGTTTCTGCGTAGTTACCGTAAATTTTGTAGCCATAAAGACGTAATTTTAACGCTGTCTATCTTCTCAGATTCTTCAGCATGTTTAGAGAAATTTTTCCCATAATAAAAAAGCAATTCCATCAACAAATCCGTCGACAGCGATATTCGCAGATTCGCGGCAATTGTTGATGCAATCGAGAGGTAATTCTATCGCTAATATTGCAGTCAAAGATATCCTAATATTTGGACTAAAGTTCGTCGCCAATTAGGGGATAATCTCGCTGATAACTCGAAGGATTATCATCCATATATGTCGTCGTTGTTTCGTCTAAATGGTAAAGGATTGGCGACAATTTTGTCAGAACATAACAGTGAAATTTGTCGATCGTTATCACTGCATCGGCAAATTTTGCTGTATGGGTAACCATCGACAATATCACACCATATGTTCGCACTTCACGTATACCGATGGTCAACGTGCTGCAACCAGTGAAACTTCTGCCAACTTTGAAACGTTGTTTCATCACTGAAGAGAACGTATTGAAAAATCTGGACTTTCTTCCAATTTCCTTAAGGCCTAGTGGCAAAATGCAACACAGTTCTGTCTATCCTGCGCAGCTAGTGCTTAGGCCAATGTGGAATGATATGGGCGATAATGATGAGTTTGCATAATCTCATGAGCCATCCTTAGTGATGAAGGTTCGAGGATTCATGTGAATCACAAACTTACTACACTGTGCATCCATATGAAGAAGTGTGTGCTAAGATGGTGCGGGTGCGACGATGGTCAGGATGTACCTATTGTGGTCGCTGACGTCGTTGCAAAACTTTTCCTTTTCCACAATTTCTGTCCATATCTCTACATGGAGAGAAATATGAGTAAAAATCACCGGCCTTTCAGTTCGCTTACCGATTACGGAATCGACTCGAAAAATTTAAGTGACGATATTGTATTTTTTCACAGATAATTCAGATAAAAAATACGCAACGCCCCAAAAAAATTCCGTGATTTTATATAAAAAATACATGACAGTTCGTAAAATTTCCTACAACCATATTTCGCTTCGAAATGACGGAGAAGATACGTCATTTTTATTGTCTCTCCGTGCAGAGTTTATATGTCTCTCCATGTAACGACTGAAGCCAAGAGATAATTCAATTGATTGCGATACTCCTCACGATACAATCGAGCAGCAGCTAGATATCTTCCTTGACATTCTCCCAAAGACAAGAAAAATATCCACTAGTTTACTTAATGAATAGACCATGATACGTGAAATCACTGCAGACATTGTCCAAACTCAATAATGGTCAAAATCTGTTTAACTCTTCTGTTTACGAGGTTCCAGGAAGTGTCCCTGGGATTACGCTCAGTAAGTCTGAGTAAAGAGGATTGATATTGAATTGCAGTTTTATACAAAATTTCGCTGGAAAATGGGTGAATCGATATTGCATACGGTATTTCTGAATTCCTCTTCTCAAAAGAAATCACTTTCATAGGGCTGCAATTGTTAGTTTCCATAAAAAAAGACCAACCCACGGCATCTAAGTATAAATATTTCCGCTCGAAACGAACCTGGTATCAGTTGTCCCCCTGGAACGCTATAACATTTATTTAAAACTCTTTCCGATTACTTCCTTCTTTCAGCAGTTATTCAACTGTACTCTTTTAAATGTTATACCTTGTATTGTAATCGTACTAGATGTAAGATAGACGACAGCTATCACACATGAGATATCAGATAGCTAACAGGTATTGGATATCAGACATCGGATATCTCAGAAGTTGAGCAATAATTGTTATGTATGTCCGTCTCTTTTCTCATCTGCTTTCTGGTCGACCGCTTTTTTACTTTTTTTATTCGTCATTGATAGTTTCAGTGTCATTTTATCCAATTCAATAGTTAGACATGGTTTCATTGGTGTTCCACTCTCCATTGAATCGACTGAAAAATTGCAGTTTTGAAACCTAATCACTAAGCAGAAATCACGAATAATTGCCTCCGAGTATGGAACAGCACGTTGTATAATTACACCCATTTTACATGTAACGTAAAAACCATTTCTCTCTGTACACAACTGGGTAAGTTGAAAAACAATCCAAAGTCTATTGAAGTTTTTCAACCTATAGAGATAGTTGTGTTCAATTTAAAACTGTATTTTATCCACGCGTTTAATTGTTTGAATTCAATCTTCAGTATCTCCACCTAATCACAGGTTTACGCAGCTGTATCGTAGTCACTGGAAGATATTCCAACCTTTATCTATAGGTATCTCTTGTTCCCCAAGTATTTCTCGGCCCATTCTCTTGAAAAATACTTTCCTCAAGAATAATTAATTTCTGTTTTAAATACCATGCATTTCACCATGTACAGTAGAGATAATATTGGCTGCAACGAATAATATAAGAATATAATACTAAAACTATGCCATTCGCCTATGTAATCTATACATCCAGCTCGACCGGGGAAGTTGTTATCATGACCTTCAGTAGCATTAAGATTGATGGAAATGAGAGAAACTTGAAGACATGCGATACATAGAATAACGAATGCATGTCCGCTTCTGTTGTACGATTTGTGTTTATTGATTCTGCTTACGTATTTCGAGTTTAACGTCCGGGAAATCATCAAAGTTGGACGTATCATCGATCGATCTGACTTCCACAGCAATAGCAGCTGGTCTTTCTCTTATATGTTCCCAATCAACCCCGCGGAAGAACGGCGCCAGTTTTAGTTCCTCGATGCCTCTTTGAGATCCTGAGAGGAAAAAGAATTGACCATTTAATCAATTAGCTGATTAGTTCGGTGGGGATGCTGGAACTATCAGGTTAACTTTCAATATTTTAAAAGGAGTCTTAAAGGTTAATTTTAAAGTAATAGAACTATTTTGGTAAATGTCCAATATACATCCGTCAAACCAATCTGGGTTTTCTGTAATGGGATCTATATGTTTCCGTAACACGATTAAGGAACTGAAGCCTGTTGGTAAGTATTGAGTAGATTCACACCACGGATTATACCTCCAACCCAGGCTGAATTAACCACGAAACTCGTGTTTACGATTAGTCAATGGGTAGCCTAATGCCTGTCATTTTTGTAAGATACGAGAAGTTAGGTTAGTTACGCTTAGTAGTCATTTTAATTCCCTCGTGAGTGCTGGTTAGTATAAGATGGAAAATATAAGTCGCGTGCAGTACCAGGACACCGTGCAGACTCCGGGAGTGCGGCGTAGTATCTCCAGTACCCGTATAGACCAATAACAAGGTTATCCAAGTGAGTCTTTAAACGGAACAGTGACTCTTCATAATTACGGTTGTAAATCATACTTGATGATTCACCGCCGTCACTAAGTTTTCGACTTCTACATAAAAATGTTGATATTCATTTATGGGTGTTCCAATTGCCGTAGAAAACCCGCGGAGGAAATGCGGAAGTATAGAACGATCAGGCTGTGCCGGGTAGTCACGTGTCTTTTCTCGGGCGGACAACTATCTTTATGTTGTCCATTGTCTCTAAGTGTATTAACGCGTGTTATCATGGGGCCAAATGCGCCACCACGTCCAAGTCGTTGCCTTGACTGATACAAAGAGCGGTGCAGTTAAGGTAATTACCTGTCTCCTTTAAATTTTTTACACTTGTGAACGTGCGCGAAAGTAAATAAACAATGTATAAACACAAACATGTGAGACTAGTGGAAAAATTGCAACCTGGATTAGAGCCAGAATGCTAATTTGAATCTACCAAATATTTACCGGGCCATTAATAGAGGAAAGAAATGACAGACTGCACTTTGTGTCATCCAGGCCTACGGTCAGGAGGTGTCGGCTCCGAAAACCGAATGCGGTGGTACAGGTAAAGACAATGGACACAAAAAGAATTGAAACAGTAGGTAATCCTGAAGAATTCCTCAAAACCAATATTATACAACAGAACCTCACTTCATGACTACCCATCAATTGAAATACAACGAGTGCTGTATCTCCGCTGCGTACAAGCATTTATTCAATCTAAAATATACGAGATAGGAAGCGGGCTCCGCGCGCTTTTTGATTCCGTTATGTCGATGATGACATACCCAATTAACCAATCAGAAATTTGTTTTTTCTGAATGCCCAAGGAGAAATAGGGTAATGCGTGAAAAGTAATGAAAAGGATTGAATATAACTCACTCATTCATCATATCAACAGTGATGGGAGGGGGTACGGTTGATCTGATCTCGGGAGCGACTAAAAGAACCTGTTCAAGACTATCTGGCGACATTCTCGGGAAATAACAAACACGAATAAAATTCATAATTTCAATGATAGTTATGTGGGCCAGACCTATACCAGACATTTGCCGCAATTTTTTATCCAAAAACGAATAGAGTAAATGTCTAGAACAGGTCCACCGCTCCGATTTTTCCGGTGTGTATCTAGATTTAATGCTTTTTTCCTCCTGTTTCCAAATCTTCAAAAATTAATCTCTGGTAACAATTAGAACAGAAGTTACCCAGGGCCACGGCGGAGACGTGGTGGGATTAAAAAGCTCGTCACTTCGAGCCCGAAATTGAGTTACTATTTTATTTAAATTATTTCTTGGTGGACTTGTTCCAGACATTTACCAAAATTTTAATCGAATTTCCATATTCAATAATAAAAAAGTCTGATGCAAAACCCCATCTAATAAGTTTATCTAGCAAATTTACCCGAATTTGATAAAGAGATCATGCTCTACTTCCGATTAAAAAGCCCGTTCGTTATCTTACATGATTAAATGTTTTTGCTTTTAATAATATGATATATGCAAATATTACCTAGTCTCCTGTCCGCTTCACAGCAGAATTTAATAATTGTATCTTTGGCCTCCTCACTTATCGGTACTTCCGGAGGAAATATCAGAGTTTCTCTCCAATTCATTACCTTTCTGTACGTTTCTTGGGGATTCTCACTACAAAATGGAGGATAACCTGAGGGCAAAATTGAAGATTGAATGAAATTTTATACTTTCAACAATATTCAAAAAATGAATAAGTGAATGAATTTTTAATTTACCATTATAATTCATATAATGTCATTAATGAATATCAGCTCAATGAATTGATTTTAATATTTTTGTTTAAAGGAATGCCGAGACAAAAGAGGGATGGAAGCATTTGAAGAAAACCGCATTCTACCATTAACTATTGATGAAGAGTACAAATAACATAAGTAATCACCTATTAACATCTCATACATAATGACACCCAGAGACCAACAGTCGCAGGCTGGTCCATAACCGGTTTGCAGGAAGACTTCAGGTGCTATGTAATCGGGTGTACCCACTGTACTGTATGCTAGAGCCCGTCGATTTCTTTTCCAGCTCTCTGCTCTTCGTTTACTATCCATTGCACTTCCACTTCCGGTACCACAGGACGTCACTATATCAATGATATCTAATCATTAATGAATTGAAAAGAATAAGAAAAAAATCCGTTGGAAGGTTGAACACTTACTGAAGTCCGATGGCTTAGCTTGACTGAGATCTCTATAAAAATCGGTTCTGTGTGACTTTTTGAGGCCAGTACATAGGCCGAAATCAGACAGCTTTATATGACCTCGTGCATCCAGCAACAAGTTGTCCGGTTTAATATCTCTAAATAAGTAAGAAAATTTTTAATTTTTCAGAAAATTACGGATCGCTATTATTGATCAAAACAGAATAATTACCTATGTATAAAACCTAGTTTATGTATTGAGTCTATCGCCAATGCTGTCTCAGATATATAAAATTGGGTGCATTCTTCAGAAAGCGTATCCTTCTTCATGAGGAGTGTCATCATGTCCCCTGTTATGGTATCAACGGTTTTTTAGGTCAGAATAGAATTTCAAATAAGGCTACGAACGTTGTTATTTTCAACAATAGATGTGCAATGTCTGTTTATTATGTGCAATCTGTGTACAAAGAAAGATCGCATATATTTATTAAAGATGGTGTCCAGTGCAAATAAGATTTAGAATTTCGGGACTATTCTAAGTTTTTATAGACTAGAAATAGAAAATAATTTTGATGAGTACTAGCTCTCATTTTCTTCTCCGGAATTGATATTCTTTTCAAACAATCATTTGGAGAAAATTCTTTCTTGTGGAGATAATAAATAGCGATTCTCGCTCGTCATAGTAGAAAATTATTATAAAAGTCATCTGAACTCTGAGGCTTAGTTGAATTTAATTTTAATAACAAATAAACCCTGGCATAAAATTTACTCACCTGGTCAACTAAATAAAGTCAGTTAGAGAATGATAATTAAGTTCTGTTGCTATCAATGGCAAAACTCATTTGTCTAATTAATTTGCGAATAACCATATGTTGATGGCCCATGAAGCCCTCAAATTTCAGTGCTTATGATGCTTTTCTGGAGACGAAGTACCTTCGACTAGCAATGGATCGGTACACAATTCGGAAGGACATGCCAAGTAGGCTCGCCATATGATTTCTGTTTTTTTCCGCATGCCTAATCATGTCTATTTATGCTGATTCATGAATCATATGAGACTTAGCATCCTTTCTTTTGGATTTCCTTTACTTTTTGGGTATTCGTCTTTTAGTCAATACAATACAAGTCGTCTCGGGAAACTTGTTACCACAAAAAAAAAGTTTCTTGTTTTGTTTTTTTATGATGAAGCATGAACATTTGTCAATTCCCAAATAGCTGACGCACATCGGCATGGTAAGTGCATGGTTTATGTGGACCAAAACCAATAATCATTGAAATATTAATTTCTCTAATGAAAAAAACCTATTCAGATCCTCTCGGTATCCCGAAATAAGAAGTGAGGAAAACGCGACAAAGAGAGAAAAACATCACCCAATAGTTCTGAGGTAAACTCTGTTGCCCCCCCCCCCCCCCCCCCCCAAATTTCTTAGATTCTTAAATGTACTGCCCATGATACGCATACATTTTGGCGCGGGTCAAGGCGATACTTAATCGTTAAAAAGAATATCTCCCCAAATGGCAAAAACTGGTATTTTTGGGAAAAAACTGAGCCAAGTAAAAGTTTCGCTCAATTCATTCCTCGAAAAACTCGTGTTTTGCCAAAATATGGCGTTCCTAGAAATTTAAAAAGCTGTGAAAATGTAAATGAAAACGCCAAGAAAAGTGATACAACTCGATTGAAAGGATTCAATAATGAAAGTAAAAAAATCAGTAGAGGCAGAACCAACTTCCTTGGCGCAATTTTTTCCCAAGAACTAGAATTAGAGCCAAAGATTATCTTCGGTCACTTTTAATTATTAATCAAATTTCATTTTAGCATTATCCAGTAAATAAAACCGCGCCAAGTAAGTTGGTCCTGCCTTTAATGATTTTTTTATTTTCATTATTGAATCCTTTCAATCGAGTTCTATCCCTTTTCTTGGCGTTTTTTGGAGATACGCGAAAAAGTTGTTTATCTGCGAAAAATACACAAATTTAGTAGAGAACTAATCTTATTACTATCCTTTATGCCTGTGCCCCCAAATTATAAATTACTGGAAAAACATTCATTATTCGATGATTCGAATCAATTGACATAGGTAGTAAAAATTATAGACAAAGTAACTGTATTCCCGATGCCCTTGCCCACAGCTCATATTTTTTTCGCATTAATTTTTCATAATCAAAATAGCGCAGACAATTGACTGAAGACCCGTGTTATTTAAAGGGGGGGGGGGGGGGAACTTTTCACTGGCACGCTTTCCCATTGGGCTACGACATGGAAGCTTCATGAACATTTAAAAATATTTTTTTCGATTCAGATGAGGAGGCGGCGCGGTTAAAATTGGGCCGAAGGCCTCTGGAGGGCCACTTTAATCGGCACGTGTGTTCCTGATTCGTCCCTTTTTCGTGATATTAAATAGATGAGTGGCATCGCTGAGGCTCACAAAATGACAGACATGAAACTTATAAATTCAAAATTTTCGCTCTTTTTTAACAGTATAATCTTACAATAATTTGTGATAAAAGACACAGTGTCACGCGTGCGCAAGCGAGTGTTCTGTTTCTAGTATTGCCAATGAAGTGATCTTGATCGGGCCGTTGGAGAGTACGCGATTAAGTGGCAATGCCGGTAGAGTGGGGGTATGGGCTAAGATTACTCCGCTGATTAAAATAACGCCTCTACTCATCTGGTTTTCATAAGTTTCATCGATGAACAGATACGATGGTTGAAGAAACCGGTGACTGAAATTTCTTTTTCCTCGTCTTTGGAAATGACACTGACACTGATGAATTCTAACCTCCTAATTGAATTGCCATCTCTAAAAATTTCGAAAGGCATTTGATTTTGACAGAACGACACTCGACTTATTTATTTATTTTTAAATTCCCGTTTTTACAGCTTCGACCCATAATGACTATGTGGCATATAAACGGTTAGAACTCACCATTTCAGCTGGCCAAGAATCGAACATAGAATCTATGTGTGGTGAGACAACTACCTTACTCACTGCGCCGGGCACCACTGGGTAACTTATTTATTTCTTGCTTTAACTTAGAAGCTGTAAATGAACTGGTCATCTCTCTGACAGTTAATGACAACCCAGTTTGCTGCAAGGCTAGATTTCCTGAATTGAATATACGTTAATTGAACCGTATTTAAACCTTTACATGAAAGCTGGAAGAGGTGGGGGCTAGAATATACTATGTGGAGCTAGTTAATTAGACCGATGAGTTACTGGGTTAAAGGTCTGATAGATCACATCCCAAAATATCCAATTCTTTAGTGATGCAGTTGTCTACTTTGATATCAAATATCGAGAAAGCGGAAATAGTGACGTTATTTCCGCTTATTCATATTTTCCTAGGGATTTCGCCATACTTTCAACCGGAAATTATTAGTAAGTGGCGATAGAGCCACTATTCTCGAGAACCTTTTCATCGTTTCAATAAAATTTGAAGCGAAATTCTCCTCAAGGTAGCGAATCAGTTAATCAGACCTCTTCTATCCCCCTTGTTGCTAACAAATCTATGAATTCAGTCTATTTCCTCTCGTCATGATTAACTTATTCGATTTGATATGATTTCAGACGATGAGAATTGGTGCTGGGACTTCATATTTTCATTGTATGGCCCAGAAGAGCAAAACTGGGATCCCAAGGAAAGCAATGAAATTTTCAATTTTTTTGAATGATGGAGATCGCTTTGAGATTGTGACGAAGCTCAGAGGACTTGTTTTTTTCATATACAGTCTTCATTCCTCATGACAACAGTGACTCAGGTGCAGATTCTATTACTTCACAGAGTTCCATCGCCCATCAATCTCAAAACAGCAAAAATTCTTCTAGCAAATCAACCTTTGCAATGGGAACAGCTAAGAGAAACACGCCGTGTATTGAGCCTCCTTCTGAGAATGATTTTTCTGTTGTTGGAAACAAACCTTCGAAACTTAAGGGGAAGAATATGATTTGGAACTTTTTTGATAAACCACATCTCACCCACTCTATAATAAATAAGTTGCACATTCTGGTGGAACAACTAATCCACATACTCATTTGAACCCTCTGAAATTAAAAATGAACCCGAGATAATGACTCCATACTACAGGCTCCAATGCGACGTTGACTTTGTATTCAATGACCGATATAAAATGTATTTCATCCCTACAATGTACGATAATAAAATAATAATTTCACCGACGTCGGTAACTCAGTGGCTAGGTACGAGCCTAGTATTCTGAATGTTGTACGGTCGATTCCCCGCTGAATCGAATAGAAGGGTTAAGGATTAAGGAGGTGAGAAGGGACCAAATCCTAAATGCCCGAAAGGGTATACGAAATAAAAAAAATAATACACGGAAAATTCAAAATCTGCATTTATTGAAAGTATTGAGATTCCCTTTACAGTGGACCTAAACGAATTATAATGGCACATACGTGTGATTGAAATATAAGGGTAGAACGCTTGAAATTTGTTTTTCCAGAAATATCCAGTCCGACTGATGATCTCTTCAGGAGGGATTCTTCGGGGCGCGACGGCGAAGTTTTCTCTAATATTTATAGAGTATCTCTTTTTAATTTCCATCTCATTGGTTTATTAGTGAATTGGAATGGAGTCTGAGTAAAAGAATTAGACACTGTTCCATTTTAATGGTGAGTGGGAGATGTCTTTTACATGCTGGAAAATTAGGAGTAAAGTAGCATGTTTATTATGAGGAACAACATTCAGATGCCCAAAATCGTTCAATATCCGGAGGCACTACAGAAATTATCATGCCAAATTTGATGTTGATTTTGCTCTTTCCTCACGCGCTAGTGGAAGTGAAATTCGTGTCACGATAGCAAAGCAGTTGTTGTCCTCAGATGCAATGACGATTCATTAGTAAATTCCGCAAATGCTTCTCGAACTTGAACGATCAAGCGCAGAGTCGAAGTCCCGCAAATGAAATGTTAATTTAAAGTGGAAAAATTCGTTGGCATGCTTAAAAATTGGAAACAAAAGCTTTATGCTTATTGTGTGTCTTCAAATTTGCAGGCACGAAATCGTATAACGTGAAATGACATTACAACACCCGCCATGGTAGCTGTAACGAAGAATTTCCTCTTCATTCGGATGCGCGATTGAATAGAATCCGGGCTTTAGTAGGAAAAAAATTCGTATTCGTAAAGACAATATGACCGTTTTATGTAACGATAATGAGACACAGCCGGCAAATCTGATGTCATTTCAAACGGCATTTCAAATGGCCAAAGACGACTCAAAATTAAACACCGCAGAAAAATATAAAGAGTGGTTCGTGACTCACATAAGTACACACTTTCGGGACACTAGGCTTCATGAAAGAATGACTACATTTGCTAATAAATTACCA